ATGGTTTAAAGGTGGACAGGACCACATAGCTTGAGTCCTGAACAGAAAAGGGGATCACATGCTTCAATTTTGGGTGAAGAAGAAGAAAGAGGAAGGGGCTTGCTGGGTTTTTTATACTCTGTTCGGCCCCACCTCTCTGTTTCTTGTTCTTTCTGTAAGAAGTGTATTCTGATTGGTTGTCAGACTCCCATGGGGCCAAGTTTGAATTTCCAGATGCCATGTGGTGAGTTTCTGTGGAAGGCTAATACTATCATGCCTTAATCCCATCACCTTGGAGCTAAAGGGGGAAACACTTTGTTATGTAGAATAGACTGGTTGGGGCATTTTAGTGGCTCATTAAGAAAGTGGGGGCTATTAAGAGTGAGTCTGTTTCCTGCCTAAAAACATGTTTCTCCATTTCTTATCCAGGGAAATATAATATTCTGCTTTTTCAATATTTCCTAGGATATTTCATTTTTGTAAGAGAGGGTTGGTTTTAACTTCCTACAGAAGAAAGAAAGGAAGAGAGACAGGCAGGCTTCAGGATAGAGAAGTCACTGAAATTTTCAAATAATTAGATCATTTTGGTAATGTATAAAAATAATTTATATTTGAGCTGGCAAAAATATAGTAATGAAAATCAGCTAGGTATTTGCCAGTGAATTTCAACAGTATTTTGTAAATATACCAGAAATGGAAATAATTCCTGAAGTTTCTGTATTTTCCAGATGAAGAATGGTTGTCATAAAAATAAAATCATTGGAACAAGACTCTATTTTTATTTTGCTAGCTGTAGAGTAGTGACTCCTCTGTAAGTAACTTCTTAAAAATGTAATTGTTGGAGTCTTAACTACTAGATTCCATGAAATTGGGAAGGAAGTTGAAAACTTAAACAGGATGCAGAAGTGAAATCTATTTTCACTTGTCCCTCTCCTACTTTCTTTTTCTGTTGCAATTAAGAGTGGCAGTCATGTATAGGTCACAACAGAGAGATTCTGAACACAGCGGAGCTGGGACTGGATCATATCCAGGCAAAGCAATTCAACCCTTGGCATCTTTCTTATAGCCACAAGTGCTGTTAACTGACGCTCCCTGGCAAGCCATGTTGAAGGAAGCTTCCCTTCAAAATAAAAGCAGGCTTTATAAATATATGAAGTGGAAACATTGATAATGGTATGTGTCTATAATAAATGTTATTGATTAACTGAGCTAAGACTTCATTACTTCCAAATTACTGTGAGAAATTTAAAATGCATTTTTCCTTTTGTCTCTTTTTATGCAGCAGGATACACTTTTAAACAAAACTGCAACATCCTTCCTATCTGTCTGTCTATCATCTATCTATATCTATCAAATCTATCAATATCTATTATCTATCTATCATCTATCTAATTGGTATCTATCTATCATCTATAATCAATATCTAGAATTGATATCTAAAATTGATACCTATCATCACCATCAATCTATCTATCTATCATGATATCAATCTATCATCTATCACTGATCCACCCATTGTCTCTCTTTCTCTCTCATTGATATCTATCATTTATCATTAATATCTAGAATTGTTAACATCAATACCTATCATCCATCCATCCATCTATCATTGATATCTATCATCTATCTATCTTTTGGTATCCTCCATCCATCCATCCATTACCTACCTACCTACCTACCTACCTACCTACCTACCTACCTACCTACCTACCTACCTACCTATCATTGATATCTATCATCCATCCATCCATCATCTATCTATCTATCTATCTATCTATCTATCTATCTATCTATCTATC